GAACTTACACTTCCTTCAGTTTTCCCCATGTCTGTAGATGGCAGCTCCATTCTGTCATGGAATGGAGACAAAAACCTCGGAGTCAGCCTTGAGTTTCTCTTTCCTTCACACATATATCCATTCTATCAGCAAATCTATTGGTTTCATCTTCAAAACACACCCAGACCCTGACCACTTCTTACAGCTGATGCCACCACTCGCTGGTCTATCACCTCTCACCTGGCCTTCACAGTCGCCTCATGACTGGTTTTTCTGTGTCTCCCTGTTGTCTCCATGGCAGCTAATGTGCACTTTTTAAAATTTAACTCAGACCTTGGCACTCTTTTGCTCCAAACCATTTCCAGTGACTACTCATTTCACTTAAAATCCAAAAGTTGGCCAGGCATAGTGGCTCACCCCCGTAATCCCAGCACTTTGGGAGGCCAAGGGAAGCAGAACCCTTCAGCCCAGAAGTTCGAGACCAGCTTAGGCAACATGCAAAATCCCATCTCTACAAAGTACCAAAAGATCAGTTGGGTATAGTTTTACACGCTTGTAGTCCCAGCTACATGGGAGGCTGGGGCGGGAGGATTGCCTCAGCCTGGGAGGTCAAGGCTGTAGTGAGCCATGTTTGCATCACTGCACGGCAGCCTAAGCAACAGAGTGAGACCCTGTCTCAAAAAAAAGAAAAAAGAAAAAAAAAAACTCCAAACATGTCCCAGCGGTTTATAAGGCCTTTCTCTCTCTTCCTGCCCATTTTCCTCACTCTCCCATGTGCTCACTGTGCCCCGCCACACTGGCCCTTTCTGTTCCTCAACAGGCCTTGCCACTCCCTCTGCCGCAAAAGCTCTCCTCCCCCACATAGCCACGTGGCTCTCCCTCACCTCCTAAGGTTTCGGTTCCATTTTCACTTTTTCAGAAAGACCTTTCTTCACTTTGTATGGGATAGCCACACTGCCCCACACCATCATTCTCTAGCCACTTACCCTGCTATATTGTTCTTTATAGCACTAAGCACACGTGACATAACACACGTTACATGTTCATTCTCTCACTATTAGGATGCAGGGCAGAGGCTTGTGTGTTTTGTTCACTGCTGTATCCCCAGCATCTAAAAACAGTGGTCCAGTAAGGGTTCATCCAATGTTTGTTAAATAACTGCATGAATGAGTGAATTCAGGCAAGAGAGAAAAGGGTACATGTGGAGAGAAGGTTGAACATCTGGGGTAATTTGCTAATGGCGGAGTTCTAGGAGGCACGAGGGAAGGGTTGAGAGGAAGAGAGGAGTAAAAGGTTAGGTGCTCCAGGGAGGGGTGCTTGCAGCACTAACTAATGAAGTCACGTGTCATGTGAGGTGAGCTTCCCATTGGCCTTAAATAGGGCAGATACCAGAGCTAAAAGACAAGGGACTGGGCACTTCCTGTTTACGGTGGCCTCTGCCCAGAAACAGTGGACTTTAGGCACCTGGCTTAGGATGGTGAGCGGCCTACAGACCTCTTATTTAGCCTTTGAGGAGGTGGTGTTGACCCCTGAGTTCACTCTGCCTGGTGAGGCATTACCAACGGGAAATATTATGGAGCCCTCCCCTGTTCCAGACTCGGAGCTGCTGATGACTCAGAGATGGTCATTTGCCACGTGTAGTGCCCAGTGTGGCCTCCAGGGGTGCTATCTCTCATCAGGGTCTGGGTCAGCGTCTGGTGCGAAGTGGGGTGGATACCCCAGCACAGGGGTCGCAGCTGACTGGCAGTCACTGGGAGCCCTCCAAGAGGCCACTTGGGCTCAGAAATCAGGGGACCCACAATAGGCTGAAGACTGGAGGCTCTTTCTCAGGTGGCTCTGGCCTGTGTCATCCCCCAGGGACTCTTGCTCCATTCTGGGGAATACCTGATTTGGAACATCTGATCCCCTGGTGAGAGAGGGCTCACAACTAGATCGAATCTGATTTCAGTAGTATGACATTTCTTGCATCCCAGTGTCTGTGCAGCAATTTCATACTTGCTTCATGCATAATGTATATAAACTGAATAATAAACATGCAAAAAACATTTTCCTGATATTTTCATCCTGTGGAGCATAGGTAAATGGCCTTAGGGCAACATCAGGGGCTTAAAAATGTATAGAAAGTTGCCAAAGAAGGGGTCGCCTGGTCCTGTTAGAGGTAGAATTCTGCTTGTATAGAAGGCAGAGCTGGTTCCCTAGGTTGATTCTGGAGCACCAAAGCAAGTACATTCCTGGCACAACTGAGCTATCAGAGAAGAAAAACACAATTGGAGGCTGAGTGCTGCATCCCCTACCCCAGTCCCAGGGTCAGCAGGCAGCTGCAGGTGTTCCTGACATTTCCCACTGCTTATTAAAAAGGAAAACACTTAATAAAACAAAACACAAGGCCGGGCGCGGTGGCTCAAGCCTGTAATCCCAGCACTTCGGGAGGCCGAGACGGGCGGATCACGAGTTCAGAAGATCGAGACCATCCTGGCTAACACGGTGAAACCCCGTCTCTACTAAAATACAAAAAAAATTAGCCGGGCGAGGTGGCGGGCGCCTGTACTCCCAGCTACTCGGGAGGCTGAGGCAGGAGAATGGCGTGAACCCGGGAGGCGGGGCTTGCAGTGAGCTGAGATCCAGCCACTGCACTCCAGCCTGGGCAACAGAGCTAGACTCCGTCTCAAAAAAAAAAAAAAACCACACACTTGTCGCTCAGCAGGCTCGAAGTCCAGACACTGCCAAGGATACTGATTCCCATTTATGTCAATGCTCTGATAGGCACTTCTTGTCTGCTTTCCCTGGAAATGGGCTTGCAGCCTGGAAAACAGAATGCAGTGGGAGAAAAAAACACGCTTATCCCAAAATGAAAGAAGGGGAAAGGCCACACCCTCTCTAGATAATACTATGACAAAGGCCTCACTCCAGCCCCTTCATGCATGAGATTCTGCACTCCCTCCAGGGATGTGTGTGGGATTCCCTGCAATGCTGACCCCTGAGAGCCTGGACCACATCCCACAGTCCCAGGATTTTCAGGTATTCATGCCAGCAGCAGATGGAGCTTATAAATAACAGAATACAAATGTTCAAGTTGAGTGGGTGCTTAAATATCCTTTTTTATTATTATTTTTATTTTTGAGATGGAGTCTTGCTCAGTCACCCAGGCTGGAGTGCAGTGGCACGATCTCGGCCCACCGCAACCTCTATCTCCTGGGTTTAAGCGATTCTCCTGCCTCAGTCTCCTGAGTAGCTGGGATTACAGGCGTGTGTCACCATGTCCAGCCATTTTTTGTACTTTTAATAGAGACGGGGTTTCACCATGTTGGCCAGGCTGGTCTCAAACTCCTGGCCCTAAGTGATCCACCCACCTCAGCCTCCCAAAGTGCTGGGATTACAGGTGTGAGCCACCGCACCCAGCCAAATATCCTTATTTCATAGAGCAGGATGGGAGGCCCAGAACGTCAGGTGAACCACCCAGATGATGGGCAATGGCAAATGTTCCCTCTTGTCCACACCATTGCTCTTACCCACCCAAGGCAGTGGGAGGCCTGTGAAATCTGACATTGTTTTCAAGCATGTTTGGAATCATAGGCAAGTAAAGACTACTGCTGTCCAAGAAGAAAATAAAAATCACCTGTAATTTTCCCATCCCAGAAATAACATCTGTGAATGCTGTGGAATATATCTGCCTCTGTGCTTGTCTCTCCCCCTCGCCTTCTGTCTAATTCTATGCTCAACACCACAGAAAGCAGTTTTCAAGCACATATATAAGGGTTATGACATTGTCCATATACAGGTCACAGAGGATTACTTGATAAGTTCCAAAGAATCAATGTCATACAGATCATGTTCTCAGACCAGAATGCCAAAAACTTAGAAATAACAGAGGGATAATTTATAAAAACATATTACTGGAAACTAAGAGAATATATTTTAAAAGGTAAAAAAAAAAAAATAGTATAGCAAATTGCTAGTTACTCAGAGTGTCAATGAAATGGCAATGTATCAAAATGTGTAGGACTTACAGCAGTAGATAAAGGGAAATCACAACTTCAAACACAAGTAAAACTGTAAATTCAAGAAGTTGGAATAAAAGCAACAGATCCAAGGAAAAAGAAGGAAAAATAAGCAAAGAAAGACAAAAATCAAAGTGGAGAAGGAAAAAACAGAAAAAATGACCAAATCAAAAGCTAATTATTTGAAAAGATTAATGAAATAAAATTCTGGCAAGACTGATCAAGAAAAAGTGAGAAAGGCCAGGCACGGTGGCTCACGCCTGTAATCTCAGCTTTGGGAAGCCAAGGCAGGCGGATCACAAGGTCAGAAGTTCAAGACCAGCCTGTCCAATATGGTGAAACCAGCTGGGTGTGGTTGTGGGCACCTGTAATCCCAGCTACTCCAGAGGCTGAGGCAGGAGAATCGCTTGAACCTGGGAGGGGGAAGTTAGAGTGAGCCGAGATCGCACCATTGCACTCCAGCCTGGGCAATAGAGTGAGACTCTGTCTCAAAAAAAAAAAGAAAAGAAAAAAAAAGAAAAGAAAAAGAGAAAATGAAATTGCAAATAGATGGAACCTACAATGAAAAAGGGAGGAAAACAATTACAGGCACAACAAAGATGCAAGAATAATGTAATTGCAGTAACTCTTCTGAAGCGGCGTTGTCAAATTATCAAACCTAAACCTGATCATGGATTTCAGATGGGACAGTTCCTTTGACCCCTTCATGGGCAGAAACTGGAGTGGCTCGTTTCACTCAGCCCGTCACTGGCCACTCCTCACATGAGGGAGCGTAAGAGCAAGCGGGTGCAGCAACCTGAGCAAACGAACCCTAGAACCCACCGGTCGCTCCTCTCTGGAGGGATCAGGCTCTATGCATGCTACACAGCAGTGTGCAAGCATGTTACAACCAGCTCTCTTTCAGCTCTGCCGTCCTGGCAGGCCAAGTGCCAACCAGCTCAGTGGAGAGTCAGGGTGGTAGCCCCTGCCCTCTTGGCACCTGGGTTCTAGTCTGGCGTCCAGGAAGAATCAGCTCACACGAACTGTTTGAAAGGTGATGAATGCGGAAGACTGTATTGAGCGGTGGGTGGCTCTCAGCGGAAAGGAAGGCTGGAAAGGAGATGGGAAGGTGATCTTTCCCTGAAGCCCGGCAGTCTCCGGCCAGGTCCCTCTCCAAAGCTGCACCGTCTGGTTAGCCGCATCTATCCATTGTCTCTGATACTCAGTTGCTTCTCTGCCCGCCGCTCAGCCGCTTGCGCTTGCGTTGCTCTGCCAGCTGAAGTCTTTTACCGGCACAGGATAGGGGCGGGGCAGGCCAAAAAGGCAACATTTGCATGGAAAAACAGGATCACCTGTTTTCACTTAGGGCCGTGGTTCCTGGCTTAGGGGTGAGGTTTAGCTGGGAGCCCAGTCCTTCTGTATCAGATTGAGATTTAACTACCAACTTACGGGAATACAGACGACAAGGGAACGTGTCAAACTAGAGATGCAATCATGGGAAACTGGGAGGAAAACGGAAAGCTGAAGAGAAACAGAAGTTATGAGAAATTAAAGGGCAGGTCTGCCAAGTGCAATGTGTAAACTTTGGATTCTGATTCAAATGACAAAGTTATCTCCCCCGCCAAAAAAAAAAAAAGAAAAAAGACATTCGTGAGAAAATTGGAAGTTTAAACACTAATTGGGAGTTTCTTGATGTTGATAAATTATTATCTGGGAAGGAGGTAATGACATTGTGAACAGGTTGAAAAAGAGTCTTTGTCTTTTGAAGATTTTTACCGGAGCATTTTCAGGTGTCATTATACAATGTCGGAGATTTGCTTGAAAGAATTATGAGGGGATGCAGGTGGGGCTCTAGATGAAACAAGATTGGCCATGAATTGGTAACTGCTGAAGCACCAGAGGTGTATTAATCCACTTTTGAATGTATTTGAAATTTTCTAGGAAAAAAAAAAAAGTTTTTAGAGTATTATGGACAACTGTATACTGAACAATGTGAAACTTGAGATACTATAGACAACTTTGTGGGGAAATATGAAATGCCAAGAGATAGTATACTTGAATAGACTAACAAGCATTAAAGAAACTGAAATGCTAATCATAGCTCCTCTCCCTAAAGCCCAGATAGCTTTACAAATGTGCTCTACCCAACTTTCAAGAGACAGATTTTTTTATCTCACAAATTTTTCCAACAAGTGAAAAAAGAGAAAATTGTCCAGCCTTTTTAATGAAGCTAATGTAATCTTGATTCAAAACTGGATTGGGCCAATACATACACACACAAAAATTACAGGCTCATTGTATTTCTGAATAAGTGATATGGTTTGACTGTGTCCCCACCCAAATCTCAAATTGAATTGTATCTCCTAGAATTCCCACGTGTTGTGGGAGGGCCCCAGGGAGAGGTAATTAAATCATGGGGGTCAGTCTTTCCTGTGCTATTCTCATGATGGTGAATAAGTCTCACAAGATCTGATGGGCTTATCAGGAATTTCTGCTTTTGCTTCTTCCTTTTTTTTTTTTTGAGAAAGAGTCTTGCTTTGTCACACAGGCTGGAGTACAGTGGCTCAATCTCAGCTCTCTGCAACCTCTGCCTCCCAGGTTCAAGCAATTCTCCTGCCTCAGCCTCCTGAGTAGCTAGGATTACAGGCACCCACCACTATGCCCAGCTGATTTTTGTATTTTTAGTAGAGACAGGGTTTCATCATATTGGCCAGGCTGGTCTCAAACTCCTGACCTCATGATCCAGTCACCTTGGCCTCCCAAAGTGTTGAAGTGTTGGGATTACAGGCGTGAGCCACTGCACCCAGGCACTTCTTCCTCATTTTTTCTTGCCATGTAAGAAGTGCCTTTTGCCTCCTTCCATGATTCTGAGGCCTCCCCAGCCATGTGAAACTGTAAGTCCGATTAAACCACTTTTTCTTCCCAGTGGGGAAGAAATACCAGGAGTGGGGTATTGCTGAAAAGATACCTGAAAATGTGGAAGTCACTTTGGAACTGGGTAACAGGCAGAGATTAGAACAGTTTGAAGGGCTCAGAAGAAGACAAGGAAAAGTGGAAAAGTTTGGGACTTCCTAGAGACTTGTTGAATGGCATTGCCCAAAATGCTGATAGCAATATGGATAGTAAGGTCCAAGCTGAGGTGGTCTCAGATGGAGATGAGGAACTTGTTGGGAACTGGAGTAAAGGTGACTTTTGTTATGTTTTAGCAAAGAGACTGGTGGCATTTTGCCCCTGCCCTAGAGATTTGTGAAACTTTGAACTTGAGAAAGATGATTTAGGGTACCTGGCAGGAGAAATTTCTAAGCAGAATTCTAGATGTGACTTGGGTAATGTTAAACACATTCAGTTTTATAAGGGAAACAGAGCATAAGAGTTTGGAAAATTTGCAACCTGACTATGCGATAGAAAAGAAAAACCCATTTTTTCTGGGGAGAAATTCAAACCAGCTGCAGAAATTTGCATAAGTAGCAAGGAACCTAATGTTAATCCCCAAGACCATGGAGAAAAATGTTTCCAGGCCATGTCAGAGAACTTCATGGCAGCCCCTCCCACAGGCCCAGAGGCCCTGGAGGAAAAAGTGGTTTCAGAGACTGGGCCAAGTGTCTCCATACTGTGTGCAGCCTAGTACTTGGTGCCCTGTGTCCCAGCCGCTCCAGCCGTGGCTGAAAGTGGCCAACATACAGCTTGGGCTGTGGCTTCAGAGGGTGGAAGCCCCAAGCCTTGGCAGCTTCCATGTGGTGTTGAGCCTGCAGGTGCGCAGAAGTCCAAGAATTGAGGTTTAGGAACCTCTGCCTAGATTTCAGAAGATGTATGGAAATGCCTGGATGCCAGGCAAAAGTTTTGCTGCAGAGGCAGTGCCCTCATGGAGAACCTCTGCTAGGGCAGTGTGGAAGGGAAATGTGGGGTCAGAGCCCCCACACAGAGTCCCTGTTGGGGCACTGCCTAGTGGAGCTGTGAGAAGAGGGCCACTATCCTCCAGACCCCAGAATAGTAGATGTACCAACAGCTTGCACCATGCACCTGGAAAAGCCACAGACACTCAACGCCAGCCCATGAAAGCAGCCAGGAGGGAGACTGTGCCCTGAAAAGCCACGGGGGTGGAGCTACCCAAGACCATAGGAGCCCATCTCTTGCATCACCATAACCTGGATGTGAGACGTGGAGTCAAAGAAGATCATTTTGGAGCTTTAAAATTTGACTGCCCCACTGGATTTTGGACTTGCATGGGCCCTGTAACCCCTTTGTTTTGGACAATTTCTCCCATTTAGAAAGGCTATATTTACCCAATACCTGTACCCCTATTGTATCTAGGAAGTAACTCACTTGCTTTTGATTACACCTCATAGACAGCAGGGACTTGCCTTGTCTCAGATGAGACTTTGGACTGTGGACTTTTGAGTTAAGACTTTGGGGGACTGTTGGGAAGGCATGATTGGTTTTGAAAAGTTAGGACATGGGATTTGGAGGGGCCAGGGACAAAATGATATGGTTTGGCTGCGTCCCCACCCAAATCTCAACTTGAATTGTATCTCCCAGAATTCCCACATGTTGTGGGAGGGACTCAGGGGAGATAATTGAATCATGGGGCCAGTCTTTCTCATGCTATTCTTGTGCTAGTGAATATAGTGAATAAGTCTCACCAGATCTGATGGGTTTATCAGGGTTTTCCACTTTTGCTTCTTCTTCATTTTCTCTTGCTGCCACCATGTAAGAAGTGCCTTTTGCCTCCCGCCATGATTCTGAGGCCTCCCCAGCCATGTGAAACTGTAAGTCCAATTAAACCTCTTTGTCTTCCCAGTCTCGGGTATGTCTTTATCAGCAGCATGAAAACAGACTAATAAGTCTGCAAAAATAACAAATAAAATATTAACTGAACTAATCCAACAATGTAGTAAACAATAGATATGGTTTATCCCAGCAATATAAGGAAGACTTATCGGCCGGGTGCAATGGCTCATGCCTGTAATCCCAGCACTATGGAAGGCCAAGGCGGGCGGATCACCTGAGGTCGGAGTTTGAGACCTGCCTGACTAACATGGAGAAACCCCGTCTCTACTAAAAATACAAAATTAGCTGGGCGTGGTGGCACATGCCTGTAATCCCAGCTACTAGGGAGGCAGAGGCAGGAGGATCACTTGAACCTGGGAGGCAGAGGTTGCGGTGAGCCGAGATCACACCATTGCATTCCAGCCTGGGCAATAAGTGAAACTCTGTCTCAAAAAAATAAAAAATAAAAAAAAAAATAAGACTTATAAAGTTCAACAGCTATTTTTTTATAATTAAAAATCTTAGCAAACCGAGTTCCATAGAATGAATGTTCCCCAAAATTCATAGATTGAAACATAATTTCCAATGTGATGGTTTTAGGAAGTAGGTTCTTTTGGAAGTGATTAAGTTATGAGGTGAAACCCTCATACATGGGATTAGTGCCCTTATAAGGGGCTGAAAAGACCACAGTTTCTTCATCCAACATGTAAGGATGAAGGGAGAAGATGCCTTCTATGAACAAGCACCAAATCTGCCAGTGTCTTGATCTTGGATTTCCCAGCCTCCAGAGCTTTGAGAAATAAATTTCTGCTATTTATAAGTTACAGATATGTGGCATTTTGTTGGAGCAACCTGAACAGGCTAAGATACTAAAAATGGAAAACAACCCTTAAATTGCTACAAAAAAAAAAAACCTATAGCAAACGTTTTTCTTATAGAGAAAATTTAGGCACATTCCCTTTAAGATTGGAAATGGGACCAAAATGTCCTGTGACTTCTATTGTATGACTTGGAACTGGAGATCCTAACCATTACTGTAAGAAAAGAAAATATTTAAAGAAAAGAAAAAAAGCAGGTTTAGCTACTTGAAGGGAAAAGAAGAGATGAAACTGCCATTATTGTAGGATTATCTACATAGAAAAACCAACAGAGCAAAGAACCCATTATAATTAATAGTAAAATTCAGCAAGGTTCTCAGGAATAAGATCAACTTATAGAAATGTCTAACATAAAAACAAAAAAAAAGTCTGACATTTCTCTACACCAGTTGTTCTCAACCAGGAATGATTTTGCTTCTCAGGTACAGTTGACATATTTAGTAAATAAAAATATAGGATATCTGGTTAAATTTTAATTTCAGATAAACCATGAGTAATTATTTAGTATGATTTTTGTCCCATGCAATGTTTGAGAC